AAATATATTAAATTAAATATAAAAAATAAAATTTCATTTAATTTTATAGTTTTTAATTAAAATTTTGTATCTATTTTTGTTTTATGTTTTGAATAAATTTTAAAGTAAAAAAAAACACTATTTTTCTTTCTTATGCATTTATTCTTAAATAAAAACTCATAATAAATTAAATATAATATAAAATTTTTAAAAAACATCTTAATATTTTTTTCCATGACATTGTATCAAAGAAATAAAGCAACAATTAATATAAAAACTTGTATGAAAATTAACAAATGAAGTTTTTTTTTTACTAATGAGAAGATTTTTTTAAATATGTACATTTGATATATATATATATATATATATATATATATATATATATATATACAAAACAATGAATAATATTAGTATAAAAATTATATTTTAATTATTAGGCAATTCTTCTAAAATCTTATTTCAATTATTTTATTTAAAAAATAAAGATTAAAAAATTAAAAAATAATAGCAAATAGTTGGTGTTGTGTGTGTAAATGCATAGTCTATTTTCAATAAAATGAATGACTCTATTATTATTTTTTTTATATATCATGATCATACTCAATGAGTGAAAATATATAACATAAATAAAAAATTTAAATTATAAAAAATATATTGAAGTTAATAGAGACCAATAAAAAAAACTATAACTTTGATTATATAAAGAATAAAAAATAAAAAACATGAATTTCATTTTTAAAATTTGATTATATAAGAATTAAGGAAAAAAAATTATTCGAATCCATATATAGAGAAAATAAATCATATTTATTATTAAATAAAATTATATAAAAAATAAAAATTTAAATTGAAGAAAAGTTTTATAATAAACGGTAAATCAAAGAGATCAATTTTAAACAATAAGAGTAATATACATCCATTCTAAAATCTAAAATATATCTCATATATTCTATAATCATTAGCTTGTGTGAAAAAACAATGATTAGTTTTGCATAATTTTCACATCCAATTAAATAAATAAATAAATAACTAAATTGTTGTGGGGGGGGGAAGAAAACAAAGGAAAAAGACCCCAAAACAACTAAAAAAAGCAGGCTTGTTCACTTGGCTTCTAAAGGGCCAAGGCAAGCTTGCAAAAATAGGCCCGCATTGCAGTAGTTAGGGAACTAACTTTTATGCTAAAACCCTAGCCACCGAAATAAAACATGATGTAAACTTCGAGTATAAATGTACAAAAATAATTTTAAAATTATCAAAAAAGTCATTCTCAACCACAGTATGTGAATGGTAACTTTATAAGGGATGGATGATAAAAATCACTATTCAAAACCCCATTTTTTTAAGTTTCTTTTAATTTTCTTATGGCTTCTTTGTTCAATTTTCCAATCATTAAAAAATAAACATTATTGCGATAGTATCATATTGGAGATTATCATCCCAAAATATTGGAAATGCTTAAATTATAGTACTCTACATGTTAATTTACTTTGATCGTATATTTAAATTATTCAACCTGTAAGGGATTGAATAAAAGAACTAATTATATTAATGCTTACCTAGCAATGGCCTTGTCATCTGGGATAGACATGAGGCCCTTTATACCACCACAACAGTTGTGACCAATATTCTCCAGATAAACTCCAAAAGGAAACATAATGAGAAAAAGGAAATAATATAGAAGAGGATAACTCTCCTAGTCCCAAGCTTCATGTTTTATTCGTGGGCAATAAAGTAAAATTCTCATAGTGCACTGATAAATATGGGTAATAAGTTCTTTAAAAGCGGTAAATGTTGTTTCTCCGAAAACTTCCAAATCCTCTTAGATCATGTTTGTAATATCACAACATCTCAGAAGATTTGTGTAATTTACAATAGAAAATAAAAAGATTTGATAACATGAATTAAGCATTTGCCGAAACTTTGGTGTGGGTATGCCTCACTGGTCGTCCTTATCCTACTAGAAAAAAATGGGACAAAGATAAAACATGAAAAAAAAATATATTGTTAAATTCATTAAGTATTTTATTATTTTTATCAATTTTTTATCTTAAATTATTAATAAATCTTTGCATTTAATCACTGTATAGTCATTAACTTGACATGTAGTGGTGTGTTGATAATTTATAATAAAAAAATTTGATAAAAATAAGAAAATAGTTGATGGATTTAACAATACGTAAAAAAAAAAACAAAACAAATTGAAGATGAAATGATGTAGTGTCAATGAATAGAAAAATAGCAATGGCTGCCCACACACCAGAATACTTTGTCTGCAGGAGAAAACTTAAGTCAAACAAAAGTGCAAAATGGATTAAAAAAAATGGAAATAATTGTACTTTTTTGTTCTCATCGAAAGAAACAAGTGTACTTTGTAAGGTTTAGATAGAAGGTTGAATACCCTTAATACAGCACTACGATGATAGCATAGCAAACCTAAAGATTGAAGAATCAAGCTGTTATATAAAAACAAAAACAGATTGAGCTATTTACAATATTATTTAATAAAAATTAAAAAATGAAAATATTTCATATTTGTCATGTATATATGACTGATGGTGTGAGAGTCTGCTCAGTTGTGATTGAAACTATTGTCAATTTGAAAATAAATTTTTTGGAATGGTTTTCGTTTCAAAATGCAGACGATAGACCCCACATCATCGAATTACCATGCTGAAGTTGAAAGGCCATATCTGATTGATGAGTTTGTTAAATATTTGAATGAGAATGGCATAATGCAGAAGGACAAGTTAACTAATCGGAGCCGAAAACGACGATGGATTACTAGAATCCTTTCATATAGATTGTGGATTTTTTTATTTTATCATGGTGCCATTTATGTATTTATTTTTATAGAACCATTTGTTGAATATTTACATGTTTGGTTTGTGTGTTAATAATGAATATGTGTTTTGTGGTTTAATGCTTAATTCGTCTACAATGTATTTCGTGTTTCATAAAATTTCTGGAAATGAATTAACTGGGCTTGCCGATAAATCTATTTTTGATTATTAATAACCATAATTTGCCGATGTGTTATGTTTAGACTCTGGTTCAAAGGGTTATTTATTTATTTATTTTTGGCATAATTGATCATTTTCACTTGTGTGCATTGTAAGGATACTTAATCTGAACTCTATTAAGGGAGAGTTCCACCTTTGAAATGGGGAAAAAATATTATTTCTTTTCATCACAATAACACAGAAGTCATAAATAATTAAACAATTATCCATAGAACGTAATGTAGGATGCATTGTCATATTCATGGGAGGTAGTTATAAGTTATAACACGGTAAGTCTTCACACGTGTTGATGGTGCAGGATAAGGTGGATATATCGGGACTCGGGAGCAACATAGCTGGATCAGTCTATTGCTTATCTATGATTGTGAACTTCTCTCCCTACGGCGACATGCAAGGTATCTTATCATGATATTATCCCATGAATCTCCATATCTAAATGATTTATTATATTTATAATATTTTCGATATACATCTAAAGTAATTTGTGTAGTTTATTTTTCATAACATTACCTTAATCGATTTTGTTTAATAAATATAAAATGTTTTATTTCTTTTCATGAACCATGTATTATATTTAGTGGAATTTTGTTGCGTAGGCAGGCACGGAGACGGATAGGCAACTTGCCTAATCTACATATCAGTTTACCTATTAAGTGTATATTAATATATAATGGCAATATACTCATGTTTGTTAAATTACTAAATTGAGAGCATAACTAAAAATAAAACACAATATTATCATTTAATTATAGAAATAGGGTGATGCGAGGTGGGTTACTGGCAGTTAAATTTTCATTTATGTCTATTAGCATTAAAATATCCTAAAAATATATATATATATATATATATATATTAAACTGTACATGTTGAATTCAATCCGCCCTGCATGCGGGTTAGTATAAGCCTAGTTTTTCATATTTTTGTTGTGTTTTCGCCTTCTCCGGACAATTGTACGGTAACTACACTAATTTTTAATTTTTTTAATTAAGCATATACATTTTAATTTTTTATTTGAATATACATATATATTTTGAAATTACTAATTAAATATTTTTCATCTAATTTTTATCAATCATTCTGTTATTTGATGGTTTTTTTTTCTGGTGTGAGACTACAAAATTATACTTTTAACCTTTCATTTTTTAAAGAAATTTTTCCTACTATATTGTTTTGTTATTTTCCATGTTTTTAGATTTAGATATTTACTAAAAAAGTAAAAAGAGACAAAATAACTTGAGAAAAATAAAGTTCTTTTCAAAAATAAAATAGTAAAATTATAATTTAACAGTTTAGTGCAAATGACATGTCATCAAGTTAAAGAATAATTGATCCATATTGGATGAAAAATATTTAATTGATAATTTTAGAAAAACGATAAAAATTAATATGCTTATAATGCAATTATTATTTTTTTCTTTTTCAAGAATTTTGATCTCATTTGAGTGTTCAGCGGATGTTCTCTTAACAACTGGGAGTAAGAAATAAACTCCATTAACGGACAAATAAGGTTATGATTTGACATCATCAGCTTCCCAATCAAAAAGCAAACCAAAAGCAAACCCCTGCACTTAAAAAGTGTTAATATTCAATCTTCTTTTATGAAAAATATCAATAAAGTATTTTAGCAAAATACCCAATCTTTTCTCTTTCGTCAGCTTAAAACAAGAGAAGAAACTTACCACTTTGAGGTCTCCCATTTATTCCCTTCCAAAAAATTGCCAGAAGTCTAAAAACTGGACCTCTTCAATTCAGCGTTTCTTCCACGTCTTACAGCAGTCGGGTCCAAAAAAATTCAGTCATAAAAACCCTTCAAAGGGGCGAACACCACCTCGAAAACATAGCCCTCTTGGTCAATGTAATGCAATAGAGAAAGGGGGCACTTTTTTTTTCTTCCTACATATACCTATAGGTTTATATATTGATTGATATAGATGTAGATCTGCCATGGTGATTTGGTTTTGTATTATAGAATTCTTGGAATTGTAGAGAGAAGTTTAAAAGATGACTGGAGGTGGGGAAGCTTCCCATAAGCGAAGTCCCAGGGAGTTATTATGTCATGCTGGTGCTGGTGCCTCCGCAGGTCTGCTTGATAAAGCTCAAGGCTTTTGGATTGATAATATTTTGTTTGTGAATTTAATTTGTGGGCTTTATGCCTAATTCAAGAAATCACAAGAATTTTTTTTTTTTTTTGATTAATTGGTGCATGAAAGTTTAGTTGATTAAAGATTGGATAATTTCTGCTAGATTATATAGTTGATGCGTCTTGCAGGTGCTATTGCAGCCACGTTTATGTGCCCATTGGACGTGATCAAGACAAGGTTACAAGTCCATGGCTTGCCTCCCAATTCAGGTCAAGGAGGTATGGTAGATTTTGTGCCCTTGAATGTAATGTTTTATGACAATCTTTTGAAAAACTACTAGTTAGTTTACTTATAAGCATCTATAGTGCTCATTATGGGGAGGGAGGTGCTTTGAGATTGAGTTGCTTTTTAGATATTTTGATGAGTAAAGACTGCACCTTTAAGAAACAGAAGGCTACATCACTTTGACAAGGAACTTAATAGGAACACGAACCCTGATTTTTTTTTTTTTTTTATTACTAAACTGAGATCATGCATATATTTGGTTTTCAGTACCAAGGAAGTCCAGAAAGTGTTGTGATTATGGCATGTTTCAATGGGAAACTTCTAACTTCCCTCCTCCATCTTCTTGACTTTTTCCCCTAAAAATGCATGCGTTGTCTTCCCTATTTGTGCTATGCAATCATTATTAATTGGTAATTCTGACATTCAGAGTACATTGGACACCCATCATTCCTAAGATGAACTAAATATGATTATTCTCTAAGTATAGATGGATAGTGCAGCTTCCTTGCTTATTGATTAATAACCATTCTTGTCCTCTACTGCTTCCTCTATGCTTAGGTAGTATCATCATCTCAAGTCTACAACACATTGTCAGAACTGAAGGTTTTAAGGGATTGTACCGTGGGCTCTCTCCAACAATAATGGCACTTCTTCCGAATTGGGCTGTGAGTATTGCCTATGTTGCTTTATTATTTTTGTTTTTATAGACAAGTGCTCGAAAGACACTAGGTTGCTTATAATGTGATCAGTTGGGCTAAAATGTAATGTCTATGATCTAGGAAAAGTGTGGGTCCTTTGAATACAACTTGTCCCAAGCTTGCCTCTTTGGTTCTTCCTTATATTCTTGTGGAGAATTTTAATGTCAGGGAAGAGGAAATCTGGTTTTATTTTCTAATGAATGCCAAGGATTGTTGATATGTCTGCAGAAAGAAGACAATGATCAATAAGAAGCCACTTTATCCATCTTGATTGAAAAATTGTATTATGAAAACACCCATTAAATTCCAGTGCATAGATTATCTCTGGGATTGATCAAAGGGAACTGTGTTAGATTACATTTTTTCTCTCAATGCAAACACATGCAGAACTACCATCTTATGTGCTCTTCACATTTCTTGTAATGACAGATGTGCTTATTTCATTTGTAGGTGTATTTCACAGTTTATGAGCAACTTAAAGGCATCCTTTCAAATGGTTGGTTTTTTTAAGAGTTTCTTACTTGAAGATTATGCGTTGTTCTTCTATTGAGTTCACATGAGAAACCTTGTTCTACTAAATTTTTCTTTGAAATATGAAGAATGTCAAGTTCTGTTGAATTTCTTGTTTTGATTTATTTTAAAATCTTATGTTCTTATATTGTAGAGAATGGGGATAGCCATCTCTCAGTCGGTCCAAACATGGTAGCTGCTGCTGGTGCTGGGGCTGCCACATCCATTGCAACAAACCCATTGTGGGTTGTGAAAACCAGACTGCAGGTAAGTCGGCATGGTTATGAATCTGATTTTTTTTTGAATACGTATAACATTTGTTAAGATCACAATGGTTCTATCATGTGTCAACTAGTACAATTGCTGCCTGCTAAATTCTTGGTGGTTGCTATCAAAACTTCACTGTAGTTTTTGATTTGACAAATGTATATGCTCTTGTTTCTATTGGAAAGAACTTGCTAGCTGTACTTGGTTTAATTTGGCAACTTGCCAGAGTTCATAGCTGAATTGGGACAACTATGTCGCTAGATGTTTTAATCTTGCAGAAGTATCTATACCAGCTCATAACTGGAAAGTGGGTTGAGTTCTGAGGATAAAATCCTTATCAATTCTAGCGAGATACTTGACCCAAGCAGACATAAATCTTGAACCTTTAAAATAGGTGTCAATAGGAAAAATTCATCCTAATTTTGTGACATTTTAAAAGTATTTCTTCTGCAGATAAGTATTTGCTTTCATTTGATTCCCCTATCATATGGCTCCAATCTTTTTATTTCTGTTTTCCTAATAAGATGTAAAATTGGATTTTTCATGCCTTAACAGCTAAAAAATATCTAGGCCACTTCAAAAGGATTGATAATTTGCTTTTTCTTGGTTGGGGAATTCAGCTCATCTCAATATTCTTTATAGTCTTAGTGAAAAATTTTGTAAGCATAGCTAACGCATTTTTCTGGTTGGTAAACCTTAAACATAAGGTCATTGACCCCAATAGACTTCCTTACTGGTTGAGCTCAAAATATTTATTGCAAAAAAATATTATTACTATTTACATATAACCACCTTTCACTTTAGAAACTGTAAACCCATGCACGAAGTTCTTATTTATTTAAGTTTGCTCAATTCTGAAAAAATGTGTTTCACATTAGGTGCAATATACATGAGAATGAGACATTAATTTTCCAACTTAATGCAAAATCTGCAAGCTAGACCTTTTGCTTTGTATAGATTTGATGATTTGAAAATGTGGATTTGCATTTCCGATTTCCCTTGAAAATGTGAAAAGCTGGTTTCACCTGTGTATCTGCCACGTAAAAAATTGTAGTTTTGGAATATTGTCCAAGCAACTTGAACTAAAAGACTCGATCAAAATCACTCCTGTAACATCTGTGAATTCACTGTGCTGTAGTGCTGCTTTAAATCTGTATATTCTGCAGCCTCTTTTTTCATTGTCTTCTACAGAATGAGGGATATTCGAGATCAGCTCTAACTAATCCTGGAGATAATTTCAGTTCATCTCTAATTAGCCCTTGGACATTATTTTAATCATACGATTAAATTTGAAGAATTAGTTCCAGTGGATCAGATATTTCTATCCTGGAGAATTGCTAGTGTTCGGTTGCCAATAGAATAGATATAATTCGTATTATTGGATTTTTAAATTTCGATTGATCTGATCAGTTTTAAAGGGAAAAGGAAATAAGGACTGCCTGATAGTATTACCTCTTATTTTTGAGCAACTTTATTCCTCATCTCCCGTAGCATCTCCTTATTTTTTAAGTCAACGGTATTTAACATTATGTTTCTCTTGTATATTTATTTATTCTTAGACCCCAAGCAGTCAATGTGTGTGTGACAAGATTGTTTAAGAGAAGAAACTTTCTTGCTATATTCTGACAAGCTAGGATGCCTGATGATTCTTTGCTTGGATGTCTGGATACTTTTGATGTTAAATGTGAACAACTACTGTTACTCTGCATAGCTTGTAATCAATACAATTGTTGTATCGTTGCTGTTCCACTTCAGACATTCATTTGTTTTTCTTCTCTTTTAGACGCAAGGAATGAGGCCAGGTGTGGTTCCTTACAAAAGCGTACTTTCTGCTTTGAGGCGGATTACACAAGAGGAAGGCATACGAGGGTTGTATAGGTCTGTGTAAATTCTGAATTTTGATTCAGCCTTCTTGATTATGCTTTTAATTGCTCAAGGACTTGATGTGAAAGTATATTACTGTAATATTTAAGGCTCTTTATGCTTCTAACGTTTTGCAAACATTGGTGCTATGGTTTTAAGGCGATTGGAAAATCTTCTCTTCATGATTTGGCTTCATAATACTGCATTCTGTGTTTGAAACAGTGGGATTCTGCCTTCTTTGGCTGGGATAAGTCACGTTGCAATTCAATTTCCAGCATATGAGAAGATCAAGTGTTACATGGCAAAGAGGGGTATTGTTTACTATCTTATTCTTTCTGGGCTGACAGTCCAACTTCTGGATATTATCATGTTCGAACAGCTCTGATTATACAGTTTTGAAGTTCTCAGGTAATACAACCGTTGATAATTTAAGTCCTGGGGATGTCGCAATTGCCTCTTCAGTATCCAAAGTACTTGCCTCTGTACTGACTTATCCACACGAGGTATGCTTTGACATGGCACTGTACTGGAGTGAGGGTTTATCTCCCATGAAAACTGTCCCATTGTGGGTGTGTCTATTGTTGTAATATCTTAATTTCAAATACCAGGTGGTGCGTTCAAGGCTTCAAGAGCAAGGGCTTCTCAGAAATTCTGAGGTACATTATGCCGGTGTTGTTGATTGCATTAAGAAGGTGTTCCAAAAGGAAGGCTTTCGTGGATTTTACCGTGGCTTTGCAACTAACTTGATGAGAACGACTCCATCTGCTGTGATTACATTTACCAGTTATGAGATGATACACAAGTTCTTGGAGCAAGTTTTGCCTCCAGACAAGAAGCATTCACACACCCAGTCCAAATCCGATAATCATGCCAAACCTCAGCAGGAAAGCAGAGGAAATGTTAGTAGTAACAGCAACACTGTTTCGGGGCAATTGCAAACCCAACCAAATAAGACACCTTCAATTCCCATGGGAAGCAAAGAGCAGCTACCTGCTGGGCACTGATTGGTGCTGTTTCTCCACAACTTCCCTGTTGGGGAAATTCTCCACAGAAAATGAAATGGATGAAGTTAAATGTGAAGGTCATAAAAAATGCAAAATTCTTCTGTTCCAAAATTTTGTTTTTTATTTTTTGTATGGTAAGGAATGGTCTAAGTTGGTTGATTCCGTCTATTTTTTTCTTGCCTGTTTATTTTATTTATTTATTTTCGTAAAATGCCTCAACTTTGGACGTTGGGGATAATCCTAGGATTTAATGATGTGCATGCGTGGTCCCTGCATTTTAGGTATTTCTATCTTATTGGTTACTCTCGAACTAAGATAAAATTTCCCAAAGGATAATTAAATATGGTTGGATTTAGATGGTAGGAATCTTGTGGGCTGCTGCGCTGCGCTGATCAGGACATTATTTAGAACCTAACTCGTATATTGCACTTGAATGGATTTCTAAACATTCGCCTTTAATTGAGCTCGTAGACAAGCATGTAATTTGTTAATTCTTCAAAAAAGAAAAAGAAAAAAGGGTTCTCAAATCCATTCGAGAGCAGCCTGCTTTGTTCAACTTTGACTTGTTTATGTAAAAAAAGTTAAGCTGGAGACCCGAGAGCATTAGCAGCTTGGATGTATATAAGAGGACCAGGATGCTAAATGGAAGATATTGGACTTTAAAGTTGAGGAAAGATGAATTACTAATTAAAGTGAAAATATAATATAAAGGCGCCAAATTCAATTTTAATTGCGAAGTGGAAGAAGCGTCACATCTCAGTCTGGTGAGCTGCAAAGCATCTTGATTCGAAATTAGCTTCTTCTTCTTTTTGCGAGGTTGCCCTCGTCCTCTGCTTTTTTGGTCGAAGTGGAACTTTCCTTGCTTTTTAACATGTTATTCTCTGGTCCCATAGACCATACCCTACTCTTACTACTCCAATCCACCTCTTCCAAACCTTCTAAGGTGTTCCAACATTCAATTCAATATGTTATTTCCAAGTCATTAGAAGTAGAACTCTTCTAATGCTTTATCTTTTCCCTTTCTTTTTCTTTTTTAATGCTATTTTCCGCCATCAAAATTCAACATGATACTTAAAAGTAACAAATATAAATAACCACATCGATTGATGCCATCAATAAACAAAGAAAAGCAAGGTTTGGATCTTTCAAGATTTTGGTATTTTTCCAAGTGAACTTTTTATTTTATTTTTGGGAAAAAAGAGATTGACATACTCACTACCAATTATTTATGATCAAAGTTTAGAAATTGAGATTAAAATTTGTAACCACATAATAAGTACAAGAATGATAACTAACCATGCATCATCTTAACAAAATTTGTTTCAGATGGAGTGCTAATTTTTCGAGAGAATGTTTAGAAAAATTAAACATTTCTAACCTATGAAAAACTGAAGACCACTTTAATAGGATATATCAAACTGAATTCACCAATATAAGTACTTAACTTATAAATTAGCCCCTAAATTAAAAAAAAAAAAAAAAAGGGAACAAGATGGAATTAAAGGAGGAAGAAGATGTAAATAGTAATCATAACTGAATTTCAAAAATTCAGTATTTCCTTGGAATAGTACCCATCTACATCACTAATTCATATCGGCAAATAGAAACTCTTTTTTTCCTTTTTTGACCCACAAAAAGTGGATTAATACAAAAATTATTTACTACTACTACTACTACTACAGTAACAGTAGAAAACCCCTGGCATGGCAGTTAAAATCGAAATTAAGATTAAAACTACTCAGTCTCCGGGATAGCAGCAAGCATAGGTCGCCAAGCTTTCCTCAAAATAGACCGGTGTCTAAACCCGATCCAACCGGGTCTAGGCGAACCCGGTCCATATCCCAAACCGTTAACTTTCATTCTATACACTTCACACTTACCTCCAAATCCTCCAATCACATCTTCTCCCTCTTTCCTTCTCTTTCCCTCTTCTAATTCATCATCAAACGACATTGCGGAAGATATAAACAAGTCCTTCAACGTGTCTCTCTTTCTCTCCGGTAACGGCGCCACGATCCTCTGCGGGTGAATCGGTGGTAGCTGTGGCTCCTGTTGGCGAGGAGAGCGGCGTCCGAGGAGCATCCGGAGTGTGGTTTTGCGGCGCTGGGGGAGGTGGACTAGGGGACTGGTTCTCGGGCTTCGTGTTGGACTCTGTGCGACGCCACATTGTGTTGCTAGAAGCTTGAATTTCTGCAACGTCGCCATTCTTTGCAGGTTCCTCTCTCTTTCTCTCTTAGTCCGTTTGCTCTCTATCTTGATTTTTGGCTATTTAAATTACTTGAAATTCCGTGAAAATTTGAATTTAAAATAAATAGTAGTAGTATCAGTATGATGGTAATTATGATGTTTGTGTGTTTGTGGTTTTGCTTGAAAGAAAGAGGAAAGGATCAGTTTTGGAATTCTCTAATTCTTTACTTTTCTTTAAAGTGCGTGCTTGCTTGCTTTGAGTGGAATCTTGGAAAATGAGAAAACTCTGTCTTCATAGATAGAAGAGGACATTGGAAAAGTCTATATTGTCCTTTACTTTGTAGACAAAACAAATCAAAGAATCAAGACATGAACACGCTTTCGCTGGCTTTTTAGTACCACCGAAATCTCGTTTCCTTGACAGTGTTTTAAGGACTCAGTAAATTGAGGTATTTTACCAAATGCTCCTTACGAATTATTATTGGTTTTCATCTTTATCACTTGTGAATATATTCGGTTTAATAGCATAAATTACCTTCAAATTATTGAATTATGAAAATTTAAAGCTAATATTATTAATTTAAAATATTTGAATTTTAAATTATTATTATGTTTAGATAAATACTATGTTTTTTCTATTATTTTTAACTATCAAAATGTTGACTATTATCTATGAAAAGATTTAATGATAAAATTTAATCCTAAATTATTAGAGCTCTAATAAAATAATGCCTATCCTATTATTTTTAACTATTTGAACTCTAAACTGTTAGTTTTTGAAAATTTTTTATTATTTCTAATAGTCAAAGGGTTTATTATTTTAGAATTAAAACTAATTTCAATTTTTTTTAATAATAGTTAATTTTAAGAAAACTTAGATGATTTTTTTATTTATGGATTTGACTTTTGTTATTTGATAATTAATGGTGTGCAATGAATTATCTAGTAAAAAAAATTGAATTATTAGTTTGTTTTAATAATTAAAACTAATTTTAAAAAATTAATATTAATTAGCGTTGAGGTCTTAGATATTTTTTTTTCATGGACTTTACTTTTGTTGTTAAATAATTAATGTCGTGCGATATATCCATGTAGTTATAAAAATGAATTATTATTTTTAAATCAATGTTAGTTCAAAAACTATATAAAATGCTTAAAATACATGTATTTTATTTCTATTACAATAAAATTCATAAATAAAATAGTTAATGATGGAGTTAACCGTTCTTTTCTATCTTATTCTTTTCTATTCTATGAGTATTAGATTATGTTGTTAGGTAATGATTCCGACTCAATGAGCTAATTTGCATGTAGGCAGCACTATTTGTTCAACCGTTGACTCTATCTATTCATTGAAATGACTTTATTACATTTTTTATATAATATAGATCGCTCCTTTTTTTTTTTTTTCTCCAAGAATTCATGCTATTCCCTTTACTTCATAAGGCCTTCCATAATAGGTGAAAAGCCTTCCGTTTCTGTCAAATGACCCGGCCTGCCTTGGCTCTTCCACCTTCCTCTGTGCTCTAGGGTACCAAAAAGAGAACTCCTCGAATCCAACCCTATGAAGTGAACGATGTTACTACAACGGGCTAGTTCCTATGAATGCGAAGCCTTGCTGCACGAAGAGCAAAACATTACCAAACCCAACATTATTTTAAGCATTTGAGCTTACGCTCAACGCTTTGATTATAAAAATAATAAAAAAGATAAAATTTGTCAAGATATTAATTGTTTGGAATTTAAATAGTATAAGTTGATAATATAAATCTTATTTTACTATAATTTTAGTAGTTTGGAGATAAATTTATCATTAAATTATATTTCAGTTAACCTAATCTTTTGATAATAGATCAATAACGGAGGAAGGATATTATTTGTCTACAAACTAACGAGTCTTTATCTCAAAAAGATTTTCTCCTTCTCTATTTATATATGTCCCAAAATGTTTGTTTGATCAGAATTTTAAATAATATATTTTTCTAAAATATTCCTAATGAATAAAGAAAATCAATCCTTTCTTCCATTTCTTATTCTTTGTTGACAAAAAACCAATATTTTTTTACACTTTCTTCTTATATATACAAATATCTTTAACATAAAAATTTCAAAGGAAATGATTTTTGTTGCATGAAAAATATTTATTTTTATAGAGGTTTACCACAAACCAAAATTTTGGGAGTAAAATATTTTCATTAATATGTTATTTTTTTATAATTATTTTAAACTTGATTCTTAATTAATTTAATGATTTTTTTTATTTATCACCTTAATTTTGAATAGATTTTCTCCTTAAATTAATATTGGTTCCATATAATATAAGATTAAATTTGATAACTAATAATTTTAACAAAAAAAATACTAATATATCATAATAATTAATAAGTTTTTTAAATTGTGTAAAAAACCAAAGAGGACAATCTTTTTGGAATAGATAGAGTAGCTTGGAGTTTAAGTCTAAATTGATAGTATAGATCCTAAATTACCACAACTCAATAGTTTAAGAGTAATTTTTCCTATTAAACCAAATATATTCAAGCTAGAAAGCCCACACTCAATTCCTTTCTAATCAAGCAAATATGCCGTCCTTATAAAAAAAATTATTTTTATTACAATCTCTCTAGATTCAAACGTTAGATAATAATTCTATAGATTCGACCCTTAGATAATAAAGCAATGTAAAACCCTTGGCTTAAAAGGAGGCTAAGAGTGTTATGATAATTCCACATACTCGTTGAATGTGAGGCAAAGCCATATGACCTTTACCTCATGTATGACAAACATTGCACAACGGAAACTTTTTTGGTTTTAAGTTCAAGGCGACTTCGGTTTAACATATTAAAAGCCAACGAAGTTTCACAAAACAAAAACCATTTCATATTCCCGCAATATATATATATCAACATTGGCTCAAATGTAATATGAGTTCATAAACAAAAGTAATTAAACATAGGAAACATAAAAGTGGCCAAACATAAGAAACATAGGTACTATTTAGCCTTTAAACTTTAAACCTATACATACAATACATGCTTTGGCAAACCGGACTTGTTCGAAATAGCATCTTCAAAGTCACAACATGCCTTCATGCATCGTTTAGCTTACCCACACCACAAGACAAACAATGAGCCAACGCTTAATAAATGGAATCATGCATGAATGTAAGAAAACAATGCATTTCATGCCGAAATTCATTTTCCTCCTTCGGACGCATCCCGTTGAATGTCCGATTCAACCCCCATTCAAAACTATGCTCTTTGTATACCCTTATGATCATGTCTAGTCGTAAACCTTGCAAAAAGTATATACTATATCATTCCTTTTGCAAGTTGTTTTTTAAACATGAAGATAACCTTTTTTTGAATGCTTGAAATCATGATAAAACATTTTCATGACATGAATGCAACTAAAGTGCAAACCTCAAGTAAACACAAAAATACAAAGCCAAGTAACATCAAATAAACACATGAATTCAAGATCATCAAATAACATCACAAGTGTTCAATCATTAATTAAACACACGGACATAAACCAAGTAATATCAAATAAACACTTAATTCGAAACCATCAAATAACTTCACAAGTATTCAATCATCAAGTAACCACGTGAATAAAATAATTTTAGAACCTCTATGCCTTGTGATGAGTTATGATTACACTTACTAATAATCAAGTAAACACATCATCACTTAAAGTGCAAACATCAAATAAGCATATCATCACAAGTATTAAATCATCAAGCAAACACATAAACATATAAAGTCCATAATCTCTATGTCTTGTGGCTAGTTGGGATTACACTTACAAATATCAAGTAAACACATGAACACAAAGCCATTAAGTAACATCTCAAGTATTGAATCATCAAGTAAACATATGAAGATAAGGCTCTATAAATTTTATGTCTTGTGGTGAGTTGAGATTACACTTACTTTAGGGTTTGTAAACATCCTAAAAGCTCTCAAAGATCTCACCTTTCTCCTTTGTTTCACTATTGGTGAAGTCGCCCAAAAATTCTTCCTTTCTCTCGGCCAAACTCTCTCTCTTGGCCAATCTCTTCCTTTCGATCAGATTTGGTTTTTCCTTGGCAAATCAATTCTCTTTTTTGTTGTTTTTATGTTTTTTTCAAGGCTAAAACATCACAATTGAAACCTAGCAACTCTTTTCTTCTTTTCATTATTGGCCAAAACTAGAATAATCCAAGCAACCTTAAGGTGGACACATGTATGGAACATTTAAGCCAAGATATTTTCTCTAGATTTTTCTAGGTGAACACATATATGGAACACCTAATTAAGAGATTTTTCTAGATTAACACTTGTGTATGAAACTAATCAAACTTTATTTTTAGGTTAACACATGTATGAGACACTTAATCAAGCTATATTTCTAAGTCTCTCAAGTTTGAAAAGCTTAACTAACTAGTCATTTTACTTTGCCACTTAACTCACTTAGCTCCCAATCTTTTAAGTATCACATTCGGGTCCCTAGTCACCTACAACATGAACTTGCAATGCCAAACATTTATCAATGTAAACATAAAACATAGCTTACACATACTTAACAAAATAAATACATACAAATGCATAAGAATATTTGAATTTTTGGGTATTACGAGTGAAGAACAAAATTGCTTACCACTAGCCTCAACCTCCAAAGCACTACAAAATTTTTTTGAATTGGCGACGAGTTTAGACCATCTCTAATCACATGAAAATCGTTTCTAATTATGTTTATAGACGATTTAGTGACGATCAAAAAACCCTTAAAAAAATACCGGTCGATAAATTTTACGACGGTTTGAGACTATCTCTAATTTCTATGACGATCTAGAGACGATTTTAGACCGTTTCTAAAATCTACGACGGATAGGAGCCATCGCAAAAACCTTCATAGAAATTGCAATGGTGTTGTGACGGACTAAAATCATCACGAAACCGTCATAAAATTATGATCTGTTTTTACGACGGCTCTTGCTCGTTGTAGAATAAATGAAATTAGAGACGATTTATTCCGTC